AGATGATGAGAATGGCGTTACGTCCCCCCCCCCGCTGGTCCTACTGGGCCGTCTCGCTCACCAGGACTTTGCTTCCTCTTACTCGTCCCCGTACTCTGGTCCAGCTGCTCCTATCCTGTCCTACAGCATCTCCATCCCTTCTACACCTCTTCCTTCATTTGCTAAGTGCTCCACAACGGCCAGTCAGCACACACCACAAATCCCAGTGTGGCCATCAGCTCCTCGCTCTCCAGGCCTCTGAGGTCAAGGCCAACCCTCAACCTGCCAAGGAGATGCAGATGACAGCATTTCCGTCCTCATTTTGCAGATGTTGCAAGGCCTCCAACAGATTGTACCAAAGAGATTTTCATACTCTAACAAAACCACTCTTGGCTCCAAGTCTATCACAGCCAATTCCTTTGGTTCCTGGTCCTATCTGAGGAGCCCAACTTAAAGTTAAGGGTTCAACCTCGAGAAAATCTCAGATGGTGATCAATCCTCCATCATGCATCTCAGGCAAAAGCTCCTTGCCAGGGAGAGAAAATACTTCAGCATTGAGAATGAGGCACTAGTAGTACCAGGGACTTGTTACTCTATGATGTCACCTTCTCATGTGCTCATTCACCTTGGTGACAAGCCCAGCCACGCTGAAAGAAATGACCAGGTGCTGAGGCAACAGTCCCTAGCAGTTACCACTTTTCCTCCTCACGCCTTCTTAGTCAAGCACTAAATAGGAACTGAGGTGGCCTCATTGTGGTGCCACGTCTCTAGGATTGAGTGGAGTCTTTGAAAGGAGGGGTGTGGGCCATGATTGCCCGACAATGCCCCCCTAACCCCACCTCTCAGCTCATTAGTCCAGCTGCCCTCCAGGTCAGTACCACAGACGACAACCGTGTCTTCCTGCACGACAGCAGTCATTCAGTACCATGGAGAGCAACCAGAAATGGTAATTTACTTAAAGCCTTCATCCATAATGCACTATAGATACCATCGTAATGCACTGTAATACTCGGTATAAGAATTAATAAAGCATTATATCATCTTCATAAAGCTTCATAAAGCATTATCATGTTAGAGATTATAATACTTCATAAGCTCTAATGAAGCTGTCATATTTAATACACTATAGATACATATAGATAATGCTTTAGGAATGCATTATAAAGTATTATGAACGTGTTCATAGATGCTTATAGATATGGCATTCATAGAAAGTGTTACCCCAGGAACTTGCTGGGATCAGTGCCGCCACCCCTTAGCTCAGCCAGATGAGAGTCGTAGCCTAGGTATGGCTTTTCGCCCTCCTGGAACATCTGAATGTCCAAACGACTCGACTCCTTTAAATGCTTCGACCCCACTGCGTCAGGATCAGTGCCCGTCTGTCCCTGCCCTTCGTGTCGCTTCCCCATTCAGCCAGCAGGTGTCACTGGCCATGCCTTGTCATTCCTTGTCAGAGAATCCTTGTGCGTTTTCCCAACTTCCTGAACTGCTGCTTATCTCACTGGGTTGAATGTGTGGCTCCGACACCGATTCTCTCAAGTCGCAGGTTTGAAGCTGGCCAGTGACCAGCCTCAACTGTTATTTATATTTATTTCCTGTTCCTCAGTGTTTACTTTGTGTCTTATTTCCTGCACTTGCTTCTCTCTCCTTTCGTTCTGTTCTGGTTCTCTTTTGTACCTTTTGATTTTGTAATTGATTAGCCTTGCTTTGCATTCCCAGTGTAGAGAATGTCTAATCCTCCTAGTTCTGTGTTCATCTTGGTTAGGTTCCTGTGTGTCCCCTGATTGGTTAATTGATTATAGAGTTACACCTGTCCCTTGTTTGCCCGTATTCCCTCTGTGTATTTAAGTGCCTGTATCTGCTCTGTGCTCTAGTTTATCATTGTTGTATTCATGTTACTATGTCTATGTTCCTCTGCTCTGCTGCTGAGGTCTATTCCCTGTGTTCTTGCTTATTCCTTAGCTATGCTTTGTCTCGTGGTTTTAGTTAATTCTGTATCTTTCCTGTTTGTTTTCTGAGCCCCTCGTGGTGCTTTTGTTTTGGTCCTTTTCCCTAGTATCCTTTCTGGCTTCCCCAATAAACCCCTATTGTCTCCTGGAGCCTCAAATGGATCGTCATCCTCTTCTTCTGCCCGCACCGGCGTCCATAACCTTCTGCTTGTGGAACCTTCTGCTTCGCCAGAATTTTGCTGACACTTTTTTTTTTAGGTCTGCGCTGGTACCTTCTATCCCACCCAACAGTCTTCATCTATCCTAAAGCTGCTTCTCCATCAGTCATGCAGAAAGAGCAGCAGAAGAGTGCAGCGGCACGGCCCAGGGGGCTCGTGAGGGTTCTGTGTGTCCTTCAGTGGACTGCCACAGCGAGCCAGCGCTCTCGGGCGGAAAGGACTGCAAAACCAGAAACCTGATACCATCCCTCTCATTTCAACAATGCAAATTCCTACCATTTGTGAAAGAGTAAGCCATCCAATTCTGGTGAAAATAAATAATATGAAAACAAAACATGCATAAAACCATGCAGAATGCATCTTTTACCCGACCCAGTACTACCAGATGAGGTTATGAGATAATCGGCCATTGACTCAATAATTAGCAAAATACAGTTTGCACTTCTCTGCAGGAGAGATTAATCCCATTATGCTATTAAACTGGGCTGTAATAAAGTAAATATATCCATAATAACAGCCGGTGATAAAGAAATAAAATATCAAAATTGAAAGTGGGTGGGAATACCGTCATGTCTGACTCATCAAAACAGAATCTGCTTTTAGCAACCGGGGAGAACTCTGATTTATTTCTGGCAAAATCAGTCATATATCTTCTTTATATAGAGAGCTGGTGAGTTTATATTGGTTAGGGCATACCTGAGACTGTGTTAAAAACACCTCCTTGTTAACTGAATAAAAATATTCATCTGTATCTTCAGGAGAAAATCTGGTTAAGACCAGTGAACTACATGAACTGACTATGGGAAAAAGGAGATACAGTAGCCTGCTTCGCGGGAGATTCCACGGGCCGGAACATACCAGAAAACAGACGACGCAGACTGATGGCTTAATCTGCTCACGGCTGCCACAATCACACAACTGCTACCACCTCTAAATCGCACGACCCTTCAGGAAAAAGTTGTTCGGCAGTGTGACTAATAGCCACCAGCTCAGAGAAACGTGTACAGGAGACACGGACAAACTGTCCCCATGACACTCTCTGATTAATAGTTAGAAATGTCACCGGCAAGAACGAGGCACTAATAGACACACTAAAATTCGAGATTCAAGCATAATATACGTTTAAAAAAACAATAGAATTGTTCTCATACAAAGATTATAAAAACTGATTGCAGCATGGTATTTATACAGTTATGGAAAAATAAACGTTTTGTAGGCCTATAAGTCTAACGCGATTTGGCATATTAAGTACCTCTCTGCTGCAGCAGTGTTGGCACCAGAACAAATCTGAAGGTCGGGACCAAGGTTTTATTTGCACTTTTAAACAAATAAAGCAAAATTAAATGGAGACAGTAGCATGGCAGCTAAAAGCCTAAAAGGCATCTGATATGATCAAACCATTTAGGACTCAGCTTAGCCTCATATTTTGATACCAGTGCATGTAAGGCAAAACCTGAAATGATAGCAAACATCCAAGCATATAATGTTCATATGTTTGTATGGATGCATTCTAGGGTTACATTCAAGGTTCCTCTGGTGACATTTTAGCTATGCGCACAGTCATGCATTTCAAATGCAAACGGGCCACCAATGCTGACCTCACGATTTTATTATGTTTCATGTCAAGTCAATTAGACAGTCTGATAATCTAATGGAACTGCTGAAATTGCAGCATTGGGATTAAAACTATTCGCTTTATAAAGCAAAATTTGCGCGATATTCATAAATAGTCATAAATTAAAAAAATGTTCATAGATCAAAACGCCGAAAAGGTATCACGTATAAAAGCTTCGAAAATCGGATCAAATGTGCCATCATGTAAAAACACACCAGGCATCTACTCTTTATCCGTCCACCTACATTTTGCTAAGGGATTAAGGCAGCATTAAAAGCAGCGCAAACGCCAGGCTGCGCGTTGCGTCGCCTGATGCGACCGACGAAAGTCAGTTATACAACATGGACTTTAGCGATTGGCCAAAATCCCTTCAGCATGAGCAAGCTAAAGGTGGGAAACCTTTAGCAGATCTTCTCATAGGAAAATCAGCCCGTCCTCTTCGCACAGACCCGCCATACTTCATTAATTGCTTATTAGGCAACTTAATATTAGGGCATCGCTGCCGACGGAGCTCGCAATGTGCACCGTTCCATATAATATAGCATGCATGTTGTCATTTGTACAATAAAATCTCCCATTCTAAACTAACTGCAATATGATTTTCAATCTAAGAGCGGTGTTTTAAATAAGTCGAATGACTAAAAAGTGTATGCAAATGTGTACTTGATTAGGGAAATTAGATTAGAAACAAAGTGCTTCTGTTAAGAGAAACAAGTGTTCGCATCGCTACCACAAAAGATCCATCGATTTATGCGAGTCGGCCGGCTCGTTACAGGCGGGACACGTACCACACTGAACAGACCGCAGATAGTTAAAGTTTCCCGCAAGACGGCCACATGCTCGGGCGTGACATTCATGCAATATCCCATAGCGCTATGAAACCCACCAAGTTGGCGACATAACTTCTTCAGTAATACCAACGAGATTTTTTTTCTATCTTAAAACTTTCTGATGTGTTTGCTGTAGGCATGATAAGTTTAAGCAAACGTGAGAGTTGTATAGGCTTTATGGTGCAGGGCTGGGCGCCCCGCACCTGTCCCCGAGAGAAGTGCGTGTCCGGACACCACGATTAAAGCCCGCGGAGTCCTGCGGGACAGCGGGTTCCTTATCACATATTAAGTATGTAATAAAACATCACACCGTAGTTTCGCAGCATTGAAATCCGAGGGAAAGTGAATGATAATCGGACGCGCGTCTTAAAGAGCTCATCGCGGGAGGACGCCGCGCATCAGGACTTACTTTCAGACTGAAGAAGGTGCCATAGCCGGCGATCGGCTGTCAACACACGGGATGTAAGGACGGGAAGCCGCAGGCCCGGTTACCCCCGGCTCGCCACTACAGCATCTTCCCTGCGTGCCGAAGGCAGGTCCCGCAATTTGACCTTGCTGTAACAGGAGCTACCATCGCACCGTAGGCGGGGGGGAGTGGATCAAACCAAAGGCGAAGTGCTGCGTGCTGCTCAACTTCGGGCTGCCGGGGGACGCTCATATCACAAGCCTACGAATATAAAACATGGTCCATATTACATTATTATATGCATGCATATATTTAAAAAGTTACATATTATGTTTTACATTGTTATGTGTACTTGGATTTTAGCAGCTGTGATGGTAAAAAGTAAAATATTAATATTGTTTGTATTCGTCCTCATCTGTCTTCCTAATCATACGCAAGTTAGTCCTCATAAGCGGTAATCTGTATTTTATATATTAATTCCTATTGAACATCGACGTTTTCAGTACTTAGAACGGGTATGGGGTAACTTAGGCCATATGTATATCCTGGGATATACTGATGATGCTAATGAATGAATTGGCAATGTAATTTGCTACAGTAGCTCAGCCTGCTCCGGCATTGAAGCAGCGATTGAAGTCAGATATTCTTCTGCTGCGTTTTCCAGTCGCACCTGTCACATCCTCCAGTCCGTAGTTGATTTTGTAGATGGATGCAACTGCACATCACTTTGAATTTTTCACAGTTCAGCGACGTGAGCAGTGGTATATGAACAGGGAAGGTACGGCAGATATATATACTGGGGAAGTGGATGGAGAGAGGATTGGGCTACTTTTCTGTGCTGGACTTTGAGGTAAGGATGCAGCGGTAGCACGGATAGTATGAAAACTGGGCAGGGAGTGCTTGGAGGGACGTGCAGCTGAGGATAGGAGAGAGTCTCACTGGAGAGGATCCGGGATCTTGTGGGATCCTGCTTTGTCACCATGTGGGAGTCACTGGAAGGACATACTCAGCTGTTCCTCCAGTAATTATGGCTCCCTTGGCGACTCCTTATCATCGCTGCGGATCATGACATCTACCTTCCAGCTCATACCGATTCAGTGGACTCCAGGACCAATTGTAGGCACTCATCATATTTTAGAACATACCGTATTTGCTTTGATAACAAGGCTATGTGTCCGAATTTGAGAAACACGATGACCTTTATTTTCACTTTTTTGAAGTAGATAAATAAAGCAGATTTGTCATTGCAATTTGCTATGTAATTCGCCGCCCTCAGGGGCCCCTCCCAGCTCAGAGCCCCAGGTCATTGCCTGTCCCGTCACCAATGACTAAAAATAGCAGTTTCAGTCTTAATGGTGATACATAAAACTGAGTGTGAAATAGTCCCTACATTTATCGGTGACATTTTTGTTGTTGCAAAAATAAAGCAAATACTTCACTGAATAAGTTTCGAATGTCTGGAAGCCTAAGTAATGGTTTAATAAATTCATAACACAGAAAAGGAGAATACATTGAAAAATTAAACAATGAACTTTCTCTGGGGGCATCTTCTCTGAAGAAACCGACCTAGTTTCAGATGTAGCTGAACAGCTCCCCTCCTGCAGTACTAGACCCTATAATCAGAGCCCTGGAGCAAGAATAAAGATGAATAAATGTCCTTTGGCATGTTTTAAGGCATAAATCTATAAAGATGCATGGCAATAAAGGAGGAAATAGAGAATCCTGTTTTTCATTGCTTTAAATCTTGATGCGGCTTCACGCCCCTTCCAGACTGCGCTACCTAAAGCGGATGAAATCAAATAAGAGCACAACTGAATATTGATTTGCTCGAGCTGAATGAAAAAGCCTGCAGTCGCGCTATTCTCATTCACTGAGCAGTGCAGCTCATTTTGACTGCAAAGAATTTAATTGAATTTTTTGTTAGCTTCAGTAATTTATTTGTATTTAACATTTTTACACTTTGAGTATTGGACTTGGTGTTATAGGTCAACATTAGAATATGCACCATATACACAAAAGTATTGGGACACACCTCAGTCATTGAATTCAGGTGTTTTATTCAGACCCATTGCCAAAAGTGTATAAAATCAAGCACCTAGCAATGTAGTCAGGTTTACAAACATTTGTGGAAGAATGGATCGACCTGAAGAGCTCAATGAATTCAAGCGTGGTGCTGTCATAGGATGCCACCTATATGCAATAAGTCAGTTTGTGAAATTTTGTCCCTGCTAGATATTCCACAGTCAACTGTAAGTGGTATTATTGCAAAGTGGAAATATTTAGGAACAACAGAAACTCAGCCATGAAGTGTCAGACCATGTAAAGTGACGGGTCGCAAGGTCGCTGGGTGCTAAAATATATAGTGCATAAAAGTCACCAACGCTCTGTTGACTCAGTAACTGCAGAGTTCCAAACTTCCTCTGGCATTAACCCCAGTACAAAACTCTGTGCCAGGAGCTTCTTGGAATGGACTTCAATGGCTGAGCAGCTGCATGCAAGCCTCACATCACCAAGCACCAAGCGTCGGATGCAGTGGTGTAAAGCACGCCGCCACTGGACTCTGGAGCAGTCGATACATGTTCTGTGGAGTGATGAATCACGTTTCTCTGTCAGGCAGTCTGATGGATGAGTCTGGGTTTGGCAGATACCAGGAGAACGTTACCTGCCTGACTGCATTGTGCCAAATGTAAAGTTTGATGGAGGAGGGATAATGGCATGGGGTTGTTTTTCAGGGGTTGGCCTAAGCCCCTTAGTTCCACTGAAGGGAACTCTTAATGCTTCAGCATACCAAGACATTTTGGACAATTCTGAGGCTCCAACTTTGTGGGATCAGTTGGGGAAGAGGCCCTTTTCTGTTCCAGCATGATCATGCCCCAATGCATAATCCACAGTCATCAATTGAGGAGCTTCTATAAAGACATGGTTGGGTGAGTTTGACGTGGAAGAACTTGACTGGCCCACACAGAGTCCTGACCTCAACCCCATCGAACCCCTTTGGGATATTGCAAGCCAGGCCTGCCGGTTAGCAGCTACGACGTAGGCAGCAGATCCTGTAAATTGTAAGGTGGGGTCTTCGTGGATCAGACTTGTTTCTTCAGCACATCCCACAGATGTTCAATTAGATCTGGGGAATTTGGAGACCAAATCAACACCTTAAAAGTGTCCCCCCCCCCCCCCGCATATAACTGCTCTGAAATGTGCTACATTTAAAATCACTTAACGAAGGGTAAAAGAACCATTTTTTTTAAATAATACTTTAAGTTTTAAATTGTGTTTGCTATTAATGAGAGAATGGTGCGTTGTTTTGTCAGATGTGTGTGTGTGTGTCTGTTTGATTTTTTTAAATAATTAATTAGCAAAATTCCGTAGTGTTTTAATTTTCACATTTACAGGTATTTGCTGATAGCTTAGCTTTAAGTGTGACTCATTCACTTACCATCATTTCAATATCATTGATGAATCAAACCCCACATGTATTAATTGGTATATGGTACATGAGTTTGTACTGGCCTTCCCGTTTCTGCGATGTTAATATGAGCAGTGGGACCTCTGGCATTCTGTCACGGAAAGTCATTATCACCTGTCAATGAAATCTGCCTGGGGTGCCTATGGAGAGTAGCGGCCTTACAAACACATGGTCATGTAAGCATGACCTGCATCCTAGATACATGGTGCACTAGGAAAAAGGACAAGTATCAGAATACCTGTATTATAATGGAAATGTGAAAAAAATAACAAAAAATGATCTCGGCACTTTAAATCTTCACTTGCACATGAGACTGAGACCAAGTATTATAGACATAACAACAGTTACTTTGAGAGGTAGATTACTGAGTGTTTTGTCATTGATCATTTGCTCCTTAAAAAGATTTTTTGTGTTTATTAATATATAAATAGCATTTACGTCAAAGTAATGTTAAGGGCCACAGAGTTTTTTCATTTTTGTTTTTGTGATAATGAAAGTATTTTGGTCAAAAACACAGATCTTCTCTGAGAAAACGATCTCACTGACCTATAAGCATCGTAAATGAGTGTTTCCCTTTTTAGCTAACTCAGCCCATTGAGCGCTATTATGACATGTTATGTGCTGTTTTCCGTTGTTGTGGGAAGTCAGTCTGCCATTGCGGTGCACATATATCACACGAGGAACATGCTGCTACCCTGTAGTGTCTCTTCTGTGTCTCTGTGTTCAACAGCAGCCCCTGGCCGTGACGCCGCCTGCGCCGAAGGTTGGGTGAAATGACATTTAGGAGCATTGGCTCTAGAACAGGACAGCAAACCGAGTCTTTTTGGACCTAATTCCTGAGAATCACAAGCCCGGCGGCTAGCTTGTTGACATGTCACATTCGCTGATGCGCAGGAGGCCCACTGTGGAGCCCCACAACCACACACGCGCTCAGGTAAATTTAGCGCCAAAAAACAGCTCTCCATGCAGCGCCAATAAGGCTCCTGGTGGGCGACTGGGCGGGTGGAGGCCGGCCCACACTCCTCCGCATGTTAGCGCCAATGCTAATGTCGGAATGACGTCCTGAGCCCTTGGCTCTCTTCGCCTGTTTGCCGCCAGCGGCAGTTGCGGGACAGGAGCTCCCGAGGGGTACGCCAGGGACCGTGTTCGTCCACGGCCAGAAATGCTTGGGCGTCGTGGTCCTCATCGCTTCATCCCACGCATGCAGCCCACTATCCAAGGAGATGGGCTGATCTCCAGGGCTGCAGGAAAGGCAGTAGGCGTATGGGGCGAGTCCAGCACCTCCTAGTGGTCAACGCACCCTTTTTGGTAAACCTGCTGACCAAACCGGTCATTTATCCCGATGGGAGCCCTATGGCGTGTCTGTGTCACACGACAGAGGGGATCGTTTGGAGAACCCTTTCCGATAGCGTGAGCACTGCAGAACCCATATGGCTGCCAACATGTTCCTGGAAAAAAAATGCCACTGAAGAATCCTCCATAATCCTTGTTTCCTGAGGAAAAAAAAAATGGACAGGCAGGTCCCCCCGTTGCTAGGCAACCGCCAGGCAGTGTCCAGCAGAAAGAGAGGAAGTCATCAACCAGGTCAACAAGTAAAGTGCGATCTGAGCAGTGTGTTAGGTAAAAGTTTAACTCTTAGTTGGGTGTTCATTACATTGTACAATCAAAACCTTAACCAACCTAAACCAAGTCCA